CGAAATATTACATGCGCATCCCACACTAAAACGTATCCACACACAATGTGGATGAAAATCGACATCGCTGTCGTGTGAGTTAATTCATCTCTCCGGCAAACTACTTTGGATAAATTAAAAAGGGGTGTAAACCAAATGTTAGGTTTGAGGTATGACAACGAATGATGGATACACGTTCCTTGGAGATAAGGGAGAGATTTAAAGCAAGAAAATCATGGAACACAAAGATAAGAAATATCTTTAGAGAAAATGAGAACTTGAAGGACACTTATACTTAAAATGAGGAAGAGATAAAATTTAACACTCACACGATATATTGAAGGTAGAGTGTACAGATAGAATCAACGAATAACCTACCTAATACGTTTGGGAGGATGGATGAGAGAGCAAAGACAACCAATGATGGTAAAGAGTTAAACGTTGATTAGAGAAACAAAAGAGAAGATAAGGTGGAGAGCATTACCGTCCATATCATAAAGAGACACATCTCCTAAAATAAAAATTCTGATACAAGATCACCATCATGAATTAATATGCAACTGATTTTTTTTTTAAATACAGTTAATAAGTAATCTGCGTCTGGTATTGCTGAAGAATATCTAAGAAAAGTTGATATCTTATGGTTATGCGACATCAAGTCTCCAACTCAGGAAGACTTTTTTCCTAGAAAATTAGCATCTGAAATTCAGATATTTATCTAGCTTTGAACATATTGTAAGTTTCAAATCTATTAAAATTGAACCAGTTTTCTTATAAATAAAAGAGTCGTATTGTTTTCCTTATTATATATGTTCTCTAAAATATCTCAGAAAAGTTGAGGTGGTAAGATTATGCTGCGGCAAGTGTCCAACTCAGAGAAACTTTCTTTCCTAGAAAATTAAGGTTTGGTTGGCTTTGGTTTGTTTTCTTTTACGGCATATCAACCACAATTGGTTATTTAATGCCGACAAATTTTCTTTTTCAAAAATATATACCTGGTATTTTTTCGAAATGTATAACTGGTAATATTTCTTTTCTTAAATGTAAAGTTTTTTTTTTTTTTTTTTTTTTTTTTTTTTTTTTTGGCATATTAAACTCAATGGGTTATTTAATGCTGACAAGATTTTTATTTCTGGTATTATTTTCTTTTTTCAAATATTTATTGCTGATATTACTTTTTTAAAAATATTTATGCTATTAAAATCTATTTATACACTTTCATAGTGTTTTGATTCAGATTGTGGTGTCAACTATTAGCCGATAGCAGGGACCCAAACAGGTGCTAACACTCCGGATCAGAGTGGACCTAGGAACGCCAGCAATTAAGAAGTGGTTCCAGGCTCCTCAAAGTCTCCTGATCAGTGGCCTTGCTGCTGGACGTAGTTTAACGTCTTACCCAAGACACAGATTTAGTTTATTGTCATACCCAGGACGGTAGAAAAATTAAGATAGGATATTCAAATTCTTTACAAGACTTGAGCCTCGGCTAATGAAGCTTTATAAGTTTAAATTCTATTAAAATTAGACCAGTCATCTTATAATGTTATGTTAATAATAAATCTACCATTAGAACACGTATAAAAATAAATAATTAAAAAAAAAAACCTGATGAGTGGCTTTCGCTTACACTAACCCGTGCTACTTATTTATATGAAAGCTCCCTGTCACTCATTCAAGATCTCACACACGTGTATATTTAAATAATGCCTAAAAGGCAGGCTTCATTGTCTGCAATAAGAGGAATAAGCATGCCTCGGTGCGCGTCTTTCCTTCGTAATGCTGACACAGCGTCACGGTGAAAGAGGGCTGCTTCTATTCAATACTAAATAAAAGAAGACTGCCAGTGAAAGAATGAAGAGACAGGATAGATATGAAAAGAGAAGCCCTACTTCTTATTTTAGAGTGTCAAATTCAATAGTGTGGTAGATAATGAAACGGGGACGGCCATGTAATCGGGAAAAAGGTCCCGTTAAAATGGCCGTCTTGATTAAGTAGGTTTCATATCAACAGACATAGCGATAGAGGTAGTAAGGGGAGAAGTAAATCTCCATGGCTCTTAATAGGAAAGTGTTTACAGTGAACAGGGAAGGGGTGACGGTGAAATTCCTGCAGGGTTTCCCCACCATCTCTGAAATTGTACATATTAATGAAAGCTTAAGAATCTGACTAATCATTGATGAGAGAAGTCCCGGGGGAAGAGAGCGACAACGAACAAATGACATTGACCGACTACAACAGAGGATGAGAATATTTGGGGACTTTTTTTTCGGTGTAGGTGGGTCTTTTCACTCTGCGGCGGGGATTCTGAATACGCCTTTCTTTCAAGCAACAGCTGCTGACTCGACTTGATTGCAAAATGGTGAACCAAATAAAATAGAAAAATCAATGAAAATCCTTGCAGGACAGAAAAAAAAAAAATTACCCAAGATGGTGACGCATTCATTTGAGAGTCCAATAATCCAAGTCCAAAGTTCTCAGGTCACGGCTCATACTCAGTCAATTTAAACGTTTACTTCCTCATTTTTAAACATTTTTTTTAAACAGTTTGAAGCAAATATTTTTTAAACGCGTTTTTTTATTTTGTTTAAAAAATGCTTTCAGTATCTTCTCTATTTTTTTAAAATTCTAATTTAATCGAATTATCCAAATTATTCGTGCCAATCCTGGTTGATTAAACTACTGAATTAATTCGTTCTGTAAAAGAAAAAAAATGGACAGGTTGTTGTCAAAGTGAGACAAGAACAAATTTCACAGTAAAACATTTACTTAGTCTGGCACAAGGCAGCAAAATTTACGGACTTCACTCTAAATTTAAATGATCTGAATGACTAATTTATATTAAAAAATTCAAAGGATGCGCACTGCTGATGAGTCCCAAATATAGGACGAAACGGCCGTCCAGTGCTTTCTGTATTCTGTTGAGGTTTCTTTCAGACTCGATGAATTACTTATATATATATATATATATATATATATATATATATATATATATATATATATATATTTTGTCGATGCTGTAAATATATATATATATATATATATATATATATATATATATATATATATATATATTTACAGCATCGACAAATTTAGTCTTGAATAATTGCTCTGATGAGCTTTCATCATTGGAGCTTAGACTTAATTGGATTTAATTACTAGATCGGCGGCCAGGTCTCATCATTTTACAGTTGAAATGTTTAGCTGTAACTTCTATGCTAGCAATTTCTTCTCCCGCAAATCTCATCTATGGAAATCTGTTCTAGTTTCTTGATTTGACGTTAAAGTTGGTCATCAAATATGTAAATGAAATGTCAATCATTATCTCCTGGCTTCATGATTTCTCTTTTCTTGTTATCTGTCATTAACAATGTTTTTCCTTTTTCTCAAATTCTCTCACACCCATTTCATCATAATGGCTTTATTGCTTTGTTTGAGATGAAATGATTTAAAAAAAATATAATCTTTCAGATAGGTTTGACTGTATATGATTTTGTGTTTTTATACGTGTCAGAAGCGAGTAATAATTGTTCTATATCATAATAAGTTTGAACTGGAGCTCTTGTCGACCAGGTTTGTGTTAGGTTTGCTGATTTTTGTTATTCATGTGTTGTGGGTTAAACATCACGTAAGCTATGGGTTAATAGTTAGGTAGATAAAGTTATCTATCTTTACGCGAAAGCAGTCTAAGAGAAGAAGTATTCTGAATTCAAAATCGTCGAAAAGATAACAAGTAACCACTCCATTATCTAAAGTAGTCTGGGTAACTTACAGATAAGAAGGAAAACAGATTTAGGGAGTAACTACCGCCTATATTACGATATGACGCATTTAAAATAAAGATAAATTTTCTGTTATTCTTTCATATTTTCTTGTGTAACTGTCGTGTTTATATGCAATACTATGCTAAGAATAAGTGAAAGCATCAGTTGAGGTTTTATCTCGGAAGTTAAGCATCATTGATTCGAATCACTATTTATATGGGTAACCATATACGAGGCGATAAAGCAATATAAGAACAAGGATTAAGAAACAGAATATAAAGATAGACATTCCATTTAAATGTTTGAACATGGAAGTTGACTGGAACGCATATAGCCGCGAGTGACACCCAGAAACGAGAAATCCAAGAGAAGAAACTCTTAGAAAAGAACTTACGGTTGTATATAACCATTGTAATGTCAAATGATGAGACCTTGATGCCAATCTTGTACTGCATTTAAATCCATAGTATATAGCTACTCTAGAGAAAAGTTCATCAGAACAATTGTCATGAATGTATCCATAGGAAAGATACAGAGAAACTACGACGGTTAGAAAAATAACAGAAGCCGGGATGCCAGGTCAGGACCAAAAACATTGCAGATAATTTGTTGTATTTTATCAATAATCTGTAAATTCATATCAGAAACACGTGACAAGATGTGGCAGCAATATTCAAAGCATGGACGACTGTTAGGCTTATATGCATGTAAGATAGATTCTGGCGAGAGAAATTATCTACCACGACACATTGAATCAACTTTCCTTGCAGCAGAGGTAGCAATTGATTAAATGTATTATTTCCAATTCATGAGGTTTCCATTTCTGGATGCTAGCATTAGTCATGCTAAAGCAAGGCAAAATAGGCTCTTTTAGACGAGTGGTTAAAAGTAGTTTTTGGATGCGTTAAAATTAACAAGCGGTTTTCTGATACAGTTAACAACATATTGGAGTTACTCTTTTAAGATCAGCTGCCAATTTGAGATTATCTGACCGATCATGCTTAAGACAGGATTAAGTAAATGTATTATTAGAATAGACCAGGAATTGAGAACTGATAGTTTGTATTTTAAAATACGACTAGCTTGTTACGAATGTGATATGCCTTTTGTCAGTTGGATTCAATCATCTTCGTTGGAGTTTAGATGAAAAGTTAGCATTTAGAAGGATGATTTCCTAGGATTGAACAGTAGGATTTTACCCCTATATGGGCATTTTAAATTAATCTGTGCCGAAATTATTTCAATCTGCCAGGCCAAGATATGGTTAGTATATACAGTAGCGGCCATTATATAAGGAACGGATACAAAGACATAAATATGTGTATTACTTACAAAGTAATGGATGATTACCAATGAAATTTTTACCGAATAAAGATTAGGTTGTAGTGCATAAATAGTATACAAAGTTACAAAAATCTACATAACAGTTTTTTTTTTAAATAAAGATTAAATGGAACAAAGGAAATAAGCTACTGGACAAAAGTTAAGGAACGATCTTGTTAATACTTAATTGTGAACAAAATATCAACAAAATTAAATATTTGGTAAACATCACATTATTTTCAATGAATTCTCTGCATCGTCGACCACATGAACTAATTAATTTCTTGCAAAAATCAGCAGTAATGCCCTACCATTCGTCTTTCAATAGTTCTCATAGGGGATCCTGGTTTTTCGGGTTTCTTTTCTGGAGCCCTTTCTCCAATTATATTCCAAACATTTTCTGTTTGATTCGGTCGGACTACTGTATATATATATATATATATATATATATATATATATATATATATATATATATATATATATATATATATATATATATATATATATATATATATACTTATATAGTGAGGGAAAATGAATATTAAAGAAATCGGACAGCCAGTGGCTTGTAAACAAAATTCACATAGGGTTCTTATAGACCATCTTCGATTCAATTAAAAATTAGCAACAACATGGTAGCAAACGTGAACAATGCAATATTTCTGATAGAAAAAGCTTTTTTTCTTCTCCGCAATATTAAATCTCATAAACCATACGTACTCAGCCTTTTATCCATATTGCATCGGTCTTCTGTCGCGTGGGATGACGAAAAGACGATCACGTTGGACGCTATGATTTTTGTGATTAACGATGCGGTACAGTTTCCGGTAACGTTGTCTCCCAAACCGGATATTGCTTGTCTGTCTACCTGTCGTGGAATAAACTGCTTTCTATTAATTCTTGGACTGATGTTGTCGATGATTTTTTTGGGCTTCTTCTTTTTTTTTTTTTTTTTTTTTTAATTCTCACTTGGCATTGTTTTTGAAATGTTTGTCTACTCGCATGAATATGATTCTGCATATGACAGAGTGCACGTCATTGTTACTATGAATGTTTGTATGTTTGATTGTCAGATGTAGGAATGTCGCTTGGAAGAGACAATGGAATTGCGGATGCTAGAATCACAAACTTCTAAATTATGCATATAAATGTCTATGTGTATGTGCGTATGTTTTCATAGGAAGACGTTTTTAAGGGCAACGTATAAAAGCTGAAGATTGGGTTTATCTATCTATCTATCTATCTATCTATCTATCTCAGACCGTTCATATCTATCTATCTATCTTTTATACAAACACGCCATTTACATATATATATATATATATATATATATATATATATATATATATATATATATATATATACAGTGTGTCCATAAAGTTCGTGTGCACTTTAAAAAATTATAACTTTATTTCTATTTGCGATAAAAAATAATCTGTAAAAAAAGTTTAATGTGCCTAGTTTTATGAATAGCTAAAATAACTAATGTGATTTCAGGCATTACTGTAAATCACTTGGCAAATGTTTTCCGTGAACTGCAAAATCGTATTATCATTTGTATTGCTAACAACGGAGGACATGTGAAAACTTAAATAAAATTTCAATGAAACCTTAAAAAATATAAATTTACTTCTTTCTAATCCTTTTTACAAAGTGTTTCTATCGTAAATAGAAATAAAGATATTGATTTTTTTAAAGTGCACACGAACTTTATGGAGACCCTATATATATATATATATATATATATATATATATATATATATATATATATATATATATAAAAAGGTGTAATAGCAAAATTGTCCAAATTCTGTAACAGCAAAACTGTCCAATTGTTAGATTACGCTTTGAACCGTTTTATCTCAGAAAGGATTAAAGTTATCTTACAGGAATTCTCCGAAGTACTTATGAAACTGTTGTACTCTACTTGAGACAACAAGTATGTATTTAGCTATAAGTTGAAATGTTGATTCTTCTGGTTGTTGTGATTTTCTGATCCTGGTTTCCTCATTAATCTTCCCTCTTTTACAAATTAATCGCCGTTCTCTTGATGGTTCTTGAATGGTCTTAGAAGATAGAAACCAGAGTATAAATTTTGGTACTATTACTAAAGGCCTAAATGATCTTCGTCTCACTATTGCACATCTGGAAAGACAGTAAGGTTGAAATAAAAAATATTTTATCCGATTCTCTTTCTAGCTGAATAGCTCAAAAGATTTTTCAGTGTTTCTTACTACAAACTGTATCAATATGTCTAAAACATCTTATCTAAAAACCTGGAAAAAGAAATTCAATTTGTTTAGTGGTTTTTAGATATTAAACATTCAGTGCGATGGACAATTGTCTCATGATGTTACTATTTTTATATTTAATGCTATTTTTATTTTAATATATTTTCCATTGCGACACGGAAATTTCTATTTTTCGTGCTTAAAATTGTTATCCAGTCTTCAGGCAATATTCGGTACCTTTTTATGAAAATGATTTACTTTTGAAAACAGAAAACAATACATTTGATTATTAAAGAGTTAACAGGAGTGGAGGACTGGATTTAAAATCTTATGGGTATATCTCTTTTGCCTAATCAAATGACAGGTCAAAGCTAACAAAGCGAAAAATTAAAAATATTGGTTAGATGTTGATGGTGTGGTATTCCTACACATCTCGGGAAACTGTTATATTAAGACACGGCCTCATACTTCCAGTTAAGAAAATACATTTAGGTTACGCAGAAATAATAGATAGCAGAAAGAGATATATGTAAAGAGAAAGAACACCATTGAAAAATTCGTAAACTTAAGGAATCAGTACATATGCTAGGCCACTAAAATCTCTTGAGCCGATCAAGCATAGAAATGAATACAATATGGGAAACAGTAATTAGTAGTGCCAAAGAAAAGCGATAATAACAATAGAAATTGCAATATGAGCACTGGTAAAAATGTTTGCCGAAGACATAAGGCTTATAATACCCAGAAATACATACACAGATGTCCTCAAGGACACATAGCACAGTGGATAAAGACGTTAGTTAGATCCAGTGACAGGTCCCAAAGAGTGTGAGTTCAATACCTGGCTAAGGCGGTGAGAACTTGTAGAGGGGAATTAACAGGAGGTAATTGATAACTGGCATCCTTTAAACATGGCACATGGAACTAGAAGAGTCTAACGCAGTGGGCGAAATAAAGGCTTCAGTTCGATATTCCAACCACCTGAAGAAGGCCGGAGTGTACAACGGCCGAAACCTTGTAATACATATGGTGACAAAGATGAGGACAATAGTCCGTATGATGGAAGTAGTTTACATAATACCTCATCTCAGAAATATAGACAGATACTCTAATAATAGTTTTTTTTTTTATATATATTTTAGTACTTAAATTTTTTATGTAATTTAGAAACTAAAATACAGTAATATATTGCCTACATATTACAGTCAGTTCATTACGCACATTTAATAGTTTATTATTTTTATGGAATTTAATATGTAGCTTTTCATGTAGACACAGGGGACATGGTGCATATAAGGACTTACAAATTCTCTTTTTTAATAATTTCCATTTTACTGTGGGGGGTTTACACACACACATATATATATATATATATATATATATATATATATATATATAATTATTTATTTAAAAATATGATTCCAACTTATCATTATAATAATATAATATTTTCACATATTTTCACATATTATATTTTCACATACATATATATATATATATATATATATATATACAGACACACACACGCACCTACACACACACACACACACATATATATATATATATATATACATATATGCATATATATAGACAGACAGAGAGAGAGAGGTGTAGGATAATGATGTATAGGATAATGATTGTGAGGTATGTCGGATAATGATTGTGGTATATTGGATATCAGTTCCGAATTGGAGTTCCAATGTCATTCGTGTTCATAACATTCACATACGCGCAATTACAAGTGGGAAAGGAATGAATCCATGGGTTGAATAGCAGAGTCGTATAGCCTTGTTTGCAACCAGTCTACCACAGGAAAAAATGGCATTGTACAGCGGAAAAATCTCTGCTTTAGTTAGGTTTGAATCGATAGAGACTAGATCGCCCAAGCTTGTATCACGGATAGCACTCTATCTATCTATCTATCTATCTATCTATCTATCTATCTATCTAACGCTCTTAATGGGTACCTCATTCTATTCAACCTCTATAATTGGATTACATCTATCCTATCTATCTATCCTTTTAAATCTGTTTATTACCAGGCGGTTGCACGTTCGAATCCTGCCGAAGAGTCCTTAGTTTTCTTTAATAAGATTTTGCAAATTTTCGGGCAGGTAGACGAATATAAGTAAATATACTATTTAATAAGTAAACTGAGCGTCTACTAAAATATGAGTATTTACTAAAAATAACGTTGAAGTGACAAAATCTGTCAAATTAATAAATAAATAGTACATCTCGTTGCTTTGGAAATTTATTTGTTTATGTTAGGATCGGAAACTGAGCAGTTATATCTATTTCGAGAGTCAGATATCTCCCAAGTGTGCATCACTGATAGCACTAACTATATATCTATTACGGTATCTATCTATCTATCTATCTATCTGTCTATCTATCCTTTTCAATCTGTTTATTAACTATTCTTCCCACACGGCAGCAGTTTCGAATCCTGCCGGAGACTCCATAGTTTTTTCTAATAAAATTTCTCAAATATTCAGGCAGCTAGACGAGTATAAATAAATATACTGTTTAATAAATTGTAATATTCCGTTCTAATAGGAATATATATTTGAAAAACACGGTGAATAAAATAAGTAAATGTTTATTGTAAAACTACTACAATAAGAATAAAGGAAACAGTTATGCACAAGTTCTTTGCATTTCTATCCAGTAGCGAGTGCTATTATTGGAAAGTCGGAAGTTCTCGCGTAAGTCTGAGTTGTACTCAACAGCCCCCAGCTAGACAATATTTACCAGCCTCCCCACGAGGTAGGATATGGCACAAGGCGGAATATAGTGTGGGGCAATCCGAACCTGTAGGCCAGGCCAGAATTTCACCGTAACCCAGCATAAACGGATTCGGGTCCGTCTCCTTTTCCGGACGAAACTCTACGCTTCGGAACAGCCTCGTCCGTGTTCCTCTCAGCCCGAAGACAGAGAGTTCGAGCAGCACTGCGGGAAAAGTTTCCAGGTAGCCGGTATATAGTAAGTGCCCTACGCAGTCATATGTGGCACAAGGCCGGCTCGGACAAAAATTTCCCGTAGAACTCGCATAAACGGGATTGGGTCGGTTTACTTCCCCGAAAGAGACACTGTCATTCGGCTTGGCCTCGTTCAGGTTCCTCTCTGCCTTCGGGCAGAGAGTTCGACCATCACAACCGAAAAAGTTTTCAGCTAGACAATATTTACAACTAATATTTTTGGCCCGTATTTTCGGCCAAAAAATCCCTGTAGAACACTCATAAATGGGATCAGGTCAGTATACCTACCCGAACGAGACTTTACCCTTCGGCGGAGCCTGGTCCGGTTTCCTCTCTGCCCGATGGCAGAGAGATCGACTGTATAGCTGAAAAGGTTTCAGCTAGAATATTTGCTAACCGCCCCACGCGGTCGGATGTGGAACAAGACCGAATTTAACATGGGGTATCCGAACCCGTAGGCTCAGACAAAAATTCTCCCGTAGAAGCCGAACAAAACGAGGTCGGGTCGGTCTATCACCCCAGGCAAGACTCTGTTCTTCGGCATAGCCACTTCTGAGCTCCTCTCTGCCCGAATGCAGGGAGTTCAACCTTATGACTGAAAATATTTCAGCTATATGTTATTTATTAGAAAGAGAGGGCCAAGTTTAAGGTGCGTCTTCCGATCACGTAGTCTCGGCCAAAAATATTCCCTTTCAAACCCCTATAGACGGGTTCCGGGTCAGTCTACATCCCTGGACGAGACGCTGCCCTTCGGCGGAGCCTCGTCTGGATTCCTCTTTGCCCGAGGGCAGAGAGTTTGACTGTTTAGCCGAAAAATATTTCGGCTAGACTATTTAGCCCCACCACGAGGGTTGCATGTAGCACGAGGCCGGGTTTAACGTGGGTTCTCCGAGTCCGTAGGCTAGGCCAAAAAAAATGCGCGTAGAATCGGTATAACGGAATCGGGTTGGAAAACCACACCGAACGAGATTCTGCCCTTCGGTTGAGCCTTGTCCGGGTTCCTCTCTGTTCAGAGGCAGAGAGTTTGACTGTTTATTCCGGCTAGTATATTTATCCACCCCCTACGAGGGTTGCATATGGCACAAGGCCGGATTTAACGTGGGTTCTACGAGCCCGTAGTCTCGGCCAAAATTATTCCCTTTCTAACCCGTATAAGCGGGTTCAGGTTCAGTCTGCCTCCCCGAACGAGACTGCCCTTCGACGGAGCCTCGTCCGAGTTGGTTGAAATGTGCGGCTCAGTTGATGTTGCTGATTGTTTTTTTATTGTTATTAAACCGAAAGCGGAATCCGTACCTGTTTCACTGATATAATTTTGTTTTATATTTGTTGTTAAGAAGTATCTTTATTACATCTGAACTGTCACAAGTCAAGGGAAGCGGTAAATTGTTGTAGACGTGACAGGTTGGGTAAAAATACTATCAGTGATAATATTAATAAAATCTTTTTTAAACATTAATCATTATTAATATAAATATTAATATAATTTATTATTATTATTATTATCATTATTATTATTAATTATTATTATTAATTATTATTATTAATATTTTTTATTATTATTAACCCTAGAGCACTAACCGTCAATTACAGTTACACCACTACTAACCATGGGTATATCATACCCGATTTTGAAAATATCAAAAAAAAATATCAAATATAAATCTTTATTTGAAATATTTTATATGCATGCAATTCAAACTTTGTACTTTGAGTTAACATTAATAGGAACTGAAAAAAACATTATTTAGGTAAGAACATCAGATACTGAAAATTGTAATTAAAAAAAGAAAAATTTGCGCTGGGTACTATATACCCATGGTTAGTGTTCTAGGGTTAATTATTATTATTATATCTATTACTATAATTATTAATTCAATTAATATATTATAAATATTAATATTAATTAGTATAATTGTGTTCCAAGATTATAGATATTGCATCTGAACTGTTGCAAGTCAAAGCAAGCAGTCGGATTTCTATATGGGTTCCAGTTTGGGTAAAAATATTATCGGTGATAATATAGGGTGTCCATAAAGTTAGTGTGCACTTCAAAAACTTTATAACTTTATTTGTATTTGCGATAGAAATAATTTGTAAAAATGATTAGAAAGAAGTAAATCTATATTTCTTAAGGTTGTATTGAAATTTTATTTAAGTTTCAACATGTCTTCCATCATTAGCAAAACAAAAGTTAATATGATTTTGCAGTTCACGGAAAACATTTGCCAACTGATTTACAGTAATGCCTGAAATCACATTAGTTATTTTAGCTATTCATAAAACTAGGCACATTAAACTTTAACACATTTTTTTACAGATTATTTCTATCGCAAATACAAATAAAGTTATAATTTTTTAAAGTGCACACGAACTTTATAGACATCCTGTATATTCACACACTTGGCATCGTTGTTTATTACATATTTTTAGCCTTGAGAAGTGCGAGATTCATGTAGTCTAGATGATGTAAGGAGAGACATGGGAGTTATTAGCTGGCGTTAGTGGTGTCTCATTAAATATCTAATTGTGTCGACTTAGTGATTGATTTTTTGATAAGTTAAAAGGATAATATTTATTTAGATTCGTTTCCCTAACCAAACAGAACAACAGGCTTCTCTACTGGATCTATTTCTACACCTCCTCTCCTCGGTCTTTCCGAGGGCCGCAATACTGTTCTCTAGCTCAATCGGACCAAGCTGATGTAGCTATTGATATAATCTTCCAAGCATCTATTAAACTGGAACCCCCTATCCATAAGACCTCTTTCCGTCACCAGCACGCTGATTGGAAATCATTCCAGGATTTTCTTCATGACGCTCCTTGGGCTGACTGCCATATTCGAACTTCCAATTAAAAATTGCGCCGCTGATGTTTCTTCATGCGTCGAAACCGGCTTGGACGCTTTCATCCCTTCTCGGTGGTGCCGCAATCCTCAACACAGTTCCCACCACCATAACCAGCCACCATAGCACACAGGGACCAATATGTCCGGCTATACAAGCATAACAGCTCTCGTCATAAGAAGGGCCTACGTGCTACTGTCCGTAACAAATGTAAGAGGGTGCACGAAATTCTTGTTTACTGAGAGAATGAGGTGCTGCAGAGTCTCTAAAATCTTTGGCTTTCATGATTACTGGCGGCTATGTTATAGGATACTAAATAAGTGCAAGGTCTCTATTCCTCACTCTTAAAATGGATATAATTCTCTGCTAATAAAGCCGAATGCTTTGTCTATGAATTCGTCTCAAGTTCTACATTTAACTCATCTGGAATATCTTAACCTAACTTCTCACCAAGAAATGATTATCTATTGAGTGATATACATATAATTCCTTCCATGTTTTCTGCTATTACCTCTAACCTGGATCCCCACAAACCATGCAGGCCTAATGGTATTCTTTTAATAGTCATTATGAGGTGTGCTCTCGAACTAGCACCTGTTCTCTCTAAACTGTAATAAATGCCTCCTGCTTTCCCGCTGGAAGTCATAGACTGTTGTTCCCGTTTTTAAGAACTCTGGAGAACCGTGTAACCCATCTAACTTTCGGCCTATTAGCCTTCTACTTCTTTTTAGGAATCTTCTAGAGGCCTTAATCAATGCTGATTTGGTTCTCATAGCAGGATATTTTCTCAGACAAACAATACGGTAATGGTTTTTACAGCTCAAATGTTGATGTGCCAACGATAATTGTGGAAATAGTTTATTATGCTCTAGATAAGAAAAAGGTGTAACTCGAGCTGTACCATTGGACGTATCGAAGGCACTTGACAGCGCCTGGCATTCCGGTCTGGTCAACAAGCTGAAAAGTTACGGTATCTCAGGATCCAGTTTTTCCTATCAAATCGTGAAATGAATTTTGTCCTGAACGGCACTCATCTACACGATTTTGTACTAAGGTGGGTGTCCCCCAGGGCTCTATCCTTAGACCATCACTGTTTTTAATCTTCATGAACGAACTTCCCGATGACATTGGCTTCTACGCTGATGACACTAACATTTATTCAGTTCTGCTTCGATAATAAAGCTGATCAGACAAGGTCAAAATGACAGCTGGCGTCTAAAACGACATCAAGACCGTCGTTAACTGGGGCAATTGATGGCGTGTCAATTTTAACACGCCCAAAAATAAACTACTCTCGATTAATCATTTGAGAGACGCGTTTCTGCCTTTCATCAGCATGGCTGATGCTATCCTCCAGGAAAGTGATCCGTTGTGCCTTCTCAGGCTAACGTTCTCAGCTGACATGAAGTGGAAAGACTCTACTGATTCCATTGCTAGATCAGCTCCAAAGATGTTTGTTACAATGTGTCGGGCGAGACAATTTTCTTCTCCGGGATCTATCTTGCACGTGTATAAGTGAATGTTTCAAATATTGTTGCTATCTGTGGTCTGGTACCCTTATTATTTACCTGGAGCTCTTTGTAA